TATCTCATGGGTCATACATTGCCCCAGGTTGCACAGGAGAAGATGCTACGATGGCTTAATTTTCCTGTTTGTTCTCCGGTTGCAGCAGTGACAACCATTTTTTATCTTCAGGTCATGGTGGAAGCATGCCATAGCTTCTCTGTATGGGTGAACATAGCATTTTGCTAGACCTGAAAAATACTTAAGAATGTCTGTGGAGATGGAGAATGGTTTCCTTGAGGGCAAGAATTCAGACAGGGATAATTTTTTTCTCCCTTTCAGTTCAATTGGTAAAACCTCCATGAATTAAAAGTGGATAAGGTGGCACATCTGGCCTACATAACTGAACCCTGGATGGTGTGCCCTGGTGTTGTTAGTGAAACATCAGGCATGAAACAAATTGACGAGGACTTGCAGAATGTGGGGAGGGTATGGATTCTAGAGGATGCACTACAGCACTGCTGTATTTCTACTATTATGTTCATACATATTCAGAAGCTACAAGGGAAAACAAGGAGCAACATACATATTAGGTACATTTTAATGATTAGCCAATTTATCCACACTGCTGTGTGATATACAAGGCAAAAAAACAAAAACAAAACCAACTCAATCAAACCCTAAATATAGGAGAGAGAAGAAAGCATGCCACATACATGGAACAGCATGCCACATACAAAACCATCTCCATCAAACAGATGCAATGGGAAGTTCTCTGCCATTAATCTTCATAGATTCCAGTTATTCCTGTCTTTTTCATTGTTTGTTTCACAGGATTGAATAAACACATTTTCACATTTAATTCAAGGGAATCCAGATCTACTCTTTGTATAACTTTGCTTGGGTTCAACCCATCTGCTTCTTTATTCTACTCATGTTATTTTTATCATTGTGTTCTTCTTTGTAATTACCCACATGAACGGAAAAGTGAATACAGCCCTATGAAGAAAGAAGTACCATACCTAGAAGGATATATAGACTTTCATTAACAGTAGCAATCTGGGTTTCTCCACCAATAAACTAAGCATGTTGGTCAGCCAACACACCTTCTCCATCCTTTTTGCCTTCCCTTGGCTCCTATTACCATCCATATCAGTGGTTTCCTTTCTTCCCCACATCCTTTCATGCTTTTGCTATGACTTGGTTTTTCTTCACTGGGCACTGCCAGCACTTCCAGCACTTGCCTAAAGGCTTCAGCATTGATCTGCAATCCAGTATTGGTTGATAGGTGTAGTGGGTGGAAATTTGAGACCCCTAGATTTCAGCTTTGACAGGTTCTCCAAATTCCATCTGAAGCTCAGTTCAGCTATTTCCATACCAGAGTTTGTGCTTTTCCTTCTGCTCATATGAAAATGAACTCCCAATGCTTGCATTTTTTCACAAATTCTGTGCTTTATTGAAATTCTGCATTTTATCTCAGTACCTACAGGGCTTTTTGTCTGCATATGTCAGAACACTGGATTCTTATGTGCCGTTTTGAAATGAAAATTATGTTGCCAACTTGGAAATTACCAAACCATAACTGCAGATTACATCTAGGTCTTTCTACCAGAATACAAATGAATTACATACTGGAAGAAAATGAAGTAAAACCAGGTTTTCATACATTGCTGTTGGATGCATCAGGAGTCAGAAGGGATATATTCAGGCTTGCTTTGCTCTGCTCTCCTTTGTTTTCCAGTGATCTACATTGCTGGTGTAGTGAGTTGCATCCCTGCTGTCCCATCAATTCTGTATTTAAAAAATCTTTTGGAAACACACCTTCTTAA